TTTTTTAATGAACCAAATTAAAAAGAGTTAAACATAACAAGTTCCCATAAATTAAAAAATATTTTTTCAAATTCGATTGCTTAAGCTATTTTTTTTTTGCTTTCAGGTTTCCCGTAATTGACCATTTATTTTAGAAATTATTGTCTTGAAAAGTGTCACCAATTAACCATGCCATGGGTAATAAGACAAGCAGGACAAACCCGTTTGCCCTGCTATTTAAAAAAGTTGTTTTACAATTTATGTTGTGTGTTAGAAATAAAAATTTTTAAATTTAAGTTATATAATATATAAAAAATTTATATTAAAAAATTAAAATATTTTTAATAAATTAACATATAAATGATATTCATTATTAAAAATATTTAAATAATTTTACAAAAATTCTTAATATTTTAAAAATCACAACATTCTACTTATCGTTTTTCACTTTTTAAATATCAAACTTTAGAATCATTGAGTTCAACTTCTAGATTTGTACAATTATAACAATATAAGCTCAAACTCGAACTACACGAAAATAAAGTTTGAATTGAGATAAGGTCAAATATTCAAGCTCTTGATTTGCCCCGTTTACAATTTTAATTGAAAACTTTAATTCATAGTATAATAAATAACAAATACTATTCAGTGAAGAATACTTGTTTTAGTGTCACAAACAGGCATATGGTACTAGACGGTGAAAAAAAGAAAATGCATGTAGTGCTAGATTTTGAAGGTTAGTTTCTTTAATCTAATTTACTTGCCATATTTGTTAAATAAAAGTAGATTTAATTAGTTGTCAAATTTTTTTTATGATAATATTATAATTAAAATATCATAAAAGATTTAAATTTACAATTGTGATGTATAAGTGTATTTTTAAATAAAAATAAATTATATAACAAATATATCATATTATAAGTTTATCATATTTTATGATAATGTAAGTATATCATTTTATTTTATTTAAGAAGATATTAAATATTGATATTTTATTGGCAAAAAAAACTTTATTTTAATTTTTCCTTATTTAAAATGAAATAATTAGAATATATGGCATTATTTAAAAAATTAATTGTGATGATTAAAAGTAAAAATAAAAATATAAACACTAATTATTGTGTTTGACAAAATTTTCCAATAGTTATAAATAAATAAAGTAGAACAATTAAATTAATGGTTAAATACGCTAATTACTCAATATTTTTTAGTTTAAACGAATTGGCACCCAATAAAAAAAAGTTGAAGCGAATCAACCTTATAATTTTATTTTAGAAAAATCAACCAAACTTTTATAATTAATGTCAGCATAATTACTTTTCTGTTAAATTATTATTCCAGAACTCTAGTTAAAAAGTTGATGTTAACTATTAAATTTAAACTAATTTCTTTAAAATAAAAATTTAAGTTAACAATTTGTTTCTTTTTTTTTTT